ATCATTAAAAGTAATATTCTGGTATTTCTGATATTTTTGATTTTAAATTTTATTTTTAAATTTATATTGTTAGGAAAATATCTTATTATATCATGATATTATATCATTATATCATCGTTCAATATTGTTCCTTTCGCCTATGATATAAATCAATCCAAGGCTCAAGAAGCATCTGAACAGCATTTTAAGTTATTATGAAATGTAAAAAAACTGATTTTAGAATTCTAGACTAAATCACTAAATGAAACTTCTCTGAACATAGACTACAAAACGAATATCGAATATAACTATATAACATTACGCGTCATCTACTCAAACAGGTTAGACTTATTCCTAGTAGAGTATTTTATATTCGTTTAGCTGCTTCTTTCACTTCACATTAAAATTGTTGCTAGCGAAAATAAAGGAAAACATTGCAATTGCTTTTATTTTAGTATTTGTTTGTTGTTGCAATTGCAGCTGCTTTTGTTGGTTCTATTGTCGAGTTAATGGGATTGCGAATGGCCTTAGGTCTATGGGTGTGTGTTCGCAATAGTTGTTTAGTTCGATGGCAAAACTGCTCTCGTTTCACTATATGATGTCGGAGTTGAAGCAATTAGTGGACAAACTTTGTGAAAAGTTACCAATGCGCTTGAGTGCAGTTCGTTGTTCGGCTGATGGGGCAATTGTCCAAGTTCTTCAGCAATATCGAATGAATTCAATTTCAATTTCAATTTTATATCATAAATGGGAAAGAGAGAGACTGAAAGATTTGTCCGAGTTATGAAATGGCAATTTCCAGTTGCTCCATAAATCATGGCATTTGATTGCTCGACAGATTTCCGACCATTTAGCTAACTAAATTTAATATACATGTTTAATTAAAACATTTCGCTTGATAAAAAGCCACTGCTAATTGGCACATTGTCCAGACACGACTCAAAGTTGAGCACAGCAAATAGAATTAAAAAAGCCAGATGGAGTAGAGAGATAAAGGCTAGCGCTGCAGATTATGCTGACACAAATGACAACTAAACGGGCGGCAGGGGGCGTGGCGACTAGCACTGCTGCGGGTGCTGCCTCTCCCACTCTTACTCCGTCTCTCTATATCTGCCAGTCCGCTCGGTCTGTGTGACAGCATAAAAAGGCGCTGCCAGTTGCAGGCATTCAACATATACAAAACTTTTTGTATATTTATTAGACTATGAATTAATTCAAGTGTGAGCGAGTGTGTGTGTGCCGACTGTGTGTGTGTGTGTGCCTCTGTGTATGAAAGGATTCCGAATGCCTCTGACTGTGGCTGCTAAGTAAGCGCGCGATTTTCGTACTATGCCCCGCAGCGAGCTGCTTGCAAACGTCAGCAAAAAATGTTTCCTTTTTTTTTACAAATATTTTTTTCGATTTTTTTATATATTTTTATGTTATATTTTTTGTTGTTTTTTGCTCGTTTTCTGTGTGCTGCTCCTGTTCCTCCATGTTGCGGCTGACAAGCATCGCTCGTCGTGTACCTCTATGCAGAGGGCATAAGCACAGCAAAAAATATGATGTAGCCTTGCCATAGGGAGCAACAACAGCAACTACAACAACTAAGCAAAAAACATCATTCGCAATTCAAAATTAAAAGCGATTCGCAGAAGACAAAAGCAAAACTAGACGCCAAAAAAAAGCGAGTATAAAAAGCTGAAAATAAAAGTTGACCCTGCGCATCGGACAAACAGTTAGTTGCATTTATTAATAGCCAAGGCAATGCATATGCTGTGGGCGTGGCTGGGTGCAAGGCGAGTGTGTGGATGCTCGGTCTCCGAGGCGATTACCTTGACTATGAAAATATATCTCACACATGAGCTGCTTGGGCGCATCGCACTGTCGCTGCTGCGAGTTACTGCTCGCTGGCCTGCATTTCCCTTGTCCGTTAGCAGCATTAACATTTTAGCCAGTCTATGCAAGCCCAAAAGATACAAATATATATATTTATATATATATCTTTATATATACATGTGCTGCCATTTGCAAAGCTAATGCGAGGGAAGTTTCTTGAGAATTAACAAAATTAAGGCTATGTTTAATATATAATTTAAGTAGCCCAACAGGGAATATCTAAGTTTGCTAACAGCAATCTAGGACATATTTTAAACGTAGGATTCGCATAGGGAATTTCCACTCTCCATGGCATTTCAAGATTCAAAATAAATTGTAAAATAAAAAATATAGAAAGTAGATTTGAGTTGTAAGATTTTCGTCTCTTCCTATATGTTGGCATCTTTCTCCCTCTGGATTTTTACACCTCTCTCGGCTTGTATCTCTCTCTTTCTCGCTCTGTCTACTCCCCTGGTATCTCTCTGTTTCCCACCCTCTCGGGTTCTATTTCTATATCACACTCTCTTTTTTCTCTCTCTAGATCTCTTTCCCTTTCTCTACTTTATTTTTCACTCTCTCTCTCTCTCTCTCTTTTTAACTCTATAATTCTCTTGATCTATAAGTTGTCTCGCCTTCAGTAATTCTGTGCTTAAATTTGAACTTTCAAAAATTAATTAACAGCCACAACTTTATGGGCAACCTTCGTAATTCACCTTAGCGGTTTACTCAGTCTGTGTGTATCTTACGCTGCCTGCAACCGCACACAATTCTAACACATACACCTATACACTCGCGCACACACTAACACAGATGAGTGGCAGTGTTTGTTTAGTGTTTGTTAGATTGTTGCTTAGGTGGCTGCTCACCTGCCGTGCACCTTGATACAGACAAAGGTCACCTAATGTGTTGCATTCTACTGCACACAAAAGGGCAAGTGGCACAGCCCGCGCTGGCAGACAACGAGAGACAGAGAGAGACAAACAACGGCACTCTGTGTGTATTAAATGATTACACTTATGCAAAAGGTCTGCACACCTGGCTTTACTGTCGACTTTATTTTCACTTTTTTCTTTGCAAGCAAAAAAAAAAACAAACATAAAAAAAAGTTAGCTGACAAACACAACTCGACAGCTTTTAGTTGCGAAATGGCGGAGTTCTGAACTCCGAGCGAAACTCTCTGGGCGGCCCATTGGGCAGACGTCGCTGCTGGTCCATACGATAGCGTTGCGGATAGCCAGTGGCGGACAGACACACCAGCAGCAGCAGCAGGAGCTGCAATAGCGGTAAAACTTGTTGTGTTCCCAGCAACATTTTCAAATGTATTAAAGCTTGTGGACTAGCAATTGGCGTTAATCAATAGAGGCGCGTGATAAGGAAGCTGTCAGATGGGGTCATCGCCAGATAGCTACAGAGATGGAAAAACACACTGCGACCAAGAGAGAGAGAGAGAGAGAGAGACTCTTGAATAAAGGCTATACTTGCATAAGCGACTGCTACACTGCACTACAAGCTAGCGGCTTTTCATTTGTAATCTTTTTATTCAATTAAAAAAGGTCCGCTTGAAGTGTGCTACAGTTTGAAAGCTATTAGCGATTCAGTTTAGCTGCCTTGAAGCGCTGCACACAAAGCTGGTATAGCAGCTACAAACTACACAGGTTGCAGCTTAACAGCTTTTCTAAGAATTACATTTTTATACAATTTTACAAGTTTCCAGAATTGAGACTTGTTTCTAAAACAGAATATTCTCAGAAGCTGCTCTATAACTTTAACTGAAACTAAGCTAAACTGCACAACAAATTTATGGTTTAGTTAAGTTAAAAATATTGTGTAAGGAATAGATATAGACTCTCCTCTTTAGTTGAGAATAAAGCATGATTACACTGCACTACATGGTTAGTGTACAAGTGCTCGTTCTTATTTATATGAACAGCTCTGCACTTTGGAAGACATGGACGAAGCATTTTGGTAACAGGCTTCTTAACTCGGTCATGAATGCTTTTTCACTTCAAGATAGGCTCGTTTTACACTGTCCTACGAGATAAGTGTGTTTTATAATTTTTTTTTATAAATTTATGATTTAACTTTGAGGAAATTATTAAAATTTACCCTTACCAATTGTTGCTACACAATGCAACAAGGTTAGAGTTCAAGCTATAAATAGCTGAAAATTTCATATGATATATATATATATATATTTTTTTTTTTGATTGTATCTCATATAATACCTGAATTCTTGCCTTTAAATTATGCTCTAAAATTAAGCCATAAAGCCTGATTCATTAAAAAAAACTGAACTTTAAAACAAAGTTTCCTTTTACAATTATTGTTAATCGAAAGATAAATCATAAATTATATTAGATGCACTTTAAAATTTTGGTTTTTTTTTATTTTTTTTTTTTTAGTTATTTTTCTATGTCTCTTGCGCTTTGGTGACCAAATCAAATTTTTGTTGTAGCTTTTTAGACGCGTTTTTGTTGTTGTTTTTCTAGTCTTTTTTTGTGATTCAACTGACAGAGTCTGTCTCATTCCCGAACATTTCAGTTTACGTGTTAAGTGCTTGGCAAGCACGATTAAGGCGCTTTATCACCCGCAACAACGGCAGCAACACGAACTGAAACAAAATCAACAGCAACAGCTGCGACGCCAGCAGCAGCAGCAGCAGCAGCCAGAGCAACAGCAGCAACAAAGGCGCTTACAGCGAGCTTTGTCGCAGCAGCAACAGCAGCAACAGCAGCAGCAACAACTGTTTTAAGAACTCGCACATACATCGGCACGCCCACTGGGCGTTAAGTAACAAGCAGCAGCAGCAGCAGCAGCAGCCAGAGCACCAACAACAACATGCTGAGCACAATGACAACACCAGCCACACTGCTTGAGTTTGGGGCAATTGGTGATGTACCAAGCATTTTGGAAATAGAACTGCCAGCAATATTGTTCAACGAGAGCCTCTTCATTGAACTGAATGGCAGTCTCACACAGCTGGATGCTGGCGGCGGCGTCGGCGTCGGCAGCAGCAGCAACAACATCAACAACGGCGACAGCAGCAACAGCAGCAGCAGCAGCAATTACAACAGCAGCAACTACAACGGCAGCATAATGCTCATCAACGGCAGCAGCGGCTACAACAGCAGCAACAGCAGCAGCAGCAATGCAGGCAGCAACCTCACACAGTTGGAGGAGGAGCAACGTGTTGCCAATGAGCGTGCCGCAGCTGAATTTTGGCTACTGGTCAAAATGATTGCCATGACCGTTGTGCTGGGCCTAATGATACTCGTCACCATTATAGGTAAGCAAACAGCAACATTCCAAGCATGCACATACTTAAGAACATTGCCGTCGGGCAACATCGACTGCAGCATACGCGTTCCGGGCTGAGGAAACAAAAATAGTCAAGGTCTGCCGATTTGCCAATGATCTGCAAAACTTGTTTAACCTCATTTAGGCCAAGTTCCTGACGCTGCAGCAGATTTTTACGGCTATGTCCTATGAATATAAATTTTGATCATTGATAAAACCAATATGCCCCCTTTATACAACACGAGCGAGCACACTTAGACTCATGTCTTTAAGCAGCTGCTATCATTTATGTGGCAACTGGCAAGTGGGTGTGGCATGCTGCCAGATTTTGTAGCCGTTAAATTATTCTCAAATTTATGCCGCCGGGAGGCAGGCAACAGAAAAAAAAAAGTAATGTTGCCATATCGTCCAAACTGTAAATGAAGTGAAATTTATGATGCAGAAGATTTTTATTGCGCTGCTTGAAAATTTTATTGATTTTTGGCTTACGAAAGATGATTTGCTGCCGTGAAGTTTTTTTTTCGTTGGTGTGAGAGGGGGGCGTCAATTTCTAGAGCTGGGCGTGGCAGTTATGTGCTTAGAGTGCGCGCGCGTTTTAAAAAGCTTTGCGTTAAACGTCGCACTTAGCGAAGAGCAGCAGAGAGTTGAGTTGCGTCCTGCGAGTCCTTGCCAGCCAAGGACGCCAAGCGACAAAAGCAAACAAAGTTTAGAAAAAAATGCGTTTTTTTTTTTTGTTTTTTTTTTATATAAAAATAACTTTTTGTTGTTGCTGTTGCTGTTGTTGCCATCGACACGTGAAAAGCTATTAAAAGCGCGCCAAGGCGTCAAATGGAAAGTGTGCAAACAAACGCGCACAGCCTTAGACACACACACGCACAGGTAGACACAGCGAGATAAATGTGTGTGCGACACACGCGGCGTATGCGCAACATACGCAACTGTGGCTGCTGCTAGCATATGCAAATGCAGCAGTGACAAAAACGTTTTGATAAACTGTAGACAGGCGCACAGCACTAACAACAACAGACAACAGACAGCAGACAACAGCGAACAGACAACAGACAAGAGACAACAACAACAAACACTAGACAAAGCGACACAGTTAGAGACGAGCATCGGGCTGACAGTGAGGCAAAAAGCTTTTGAATGCCGCCGTGGCAATTACAATTTGCCAAGTTGCATCATTTGCATCGCACAGAGAGAGAGAGAGAGAGAGAGAGAGAGAGAGAGTGTGGCAAGCAGCAGCTGCCGGCTACCTCCGTTTCCCATTTCAACCTGCCCCAAAGGCTTTCGAAATTGAACTTGGCTCAGTTTGAGTAGAAAGTGTGTGTTCTCTAGCTCGAGCTCGAGCTCTGGCGGCATGTGCTATGCCATGCACAATTGCCTGCAATTAGAAACGTGCAGCAAAGCCTGATTGATTTTGGCATAATAAAACAGTTCGTCCAGCGCCAATGACAGACATTTCGATACGGCTGCTGGCTGCAATCAAAGCCTTAACTTAATTGACTACCTGCAGCACAAAAGTCGACTGAATTAATATTTCATGTATTTGAAGTGAACAATTAAAACGCATTTTATTGAGCTAAGGCAATTAATTAAATATTTAAAAAGCTAAATGAGCCAAGCAAATTATTTGATACGTTTCAACTCTTTTCACTTACTTTGCGTGACAACTAAAACCCAACTGCGTGCAGGGCAGAGAACAAAGTGGGGTCCTTTAATCCCCACAATTTATATATTCTTGATTAATGCGATTTAATCTTATTTGTTTGTCTCGAAATTTATAAGAGCTACAGACTGGAAATTTAACACTTAGCTGCTGCCAGAGTCAAGACTTTGACCTTTGACTCAATTCAATGAATAAATTCAACTAAGCAAAGCATCTTCAATGTATAATTATATAAGTATTTAATAATAATTATATAAGAGTATAATAATTATAAGAAATAGTATAAACTAGCATTATAATGTTCCTGGATTCCTGGATATAAAAACTGTTCTATATAGTAAAAAAAACAAGTCGAAACTCCAGACAAAATGTTGACAACCTGCTTGACGAATTCTCAAGACATTGCATACGTAAATCACATTTATATATATCATAAATTGTATTTATATATATCATATATATCTGCACTAAATCACATTCTTTTCCTTACCACTCGCAGGCAACGTATTTGTGATTGCCGCCATTATACTCGAGCGAAACTTGCAAAATGTTGCTAATTATTTGGTCGCATCTCTGGCAGTTGCTGATTTATTTGTTGCCTGTCTCGTCATGCCGCTTGGCGCCGTCTACGAGGTAAGTTGTTGTTGCTGCTGCTTGTTGTGCAAGCGACTGCTTTTGTTGTCGCTGGCAGTTGTTGCAACAGCTCCAAGCACAAACTTCATTACCCTAATGGAAACTTGGAATGAAAAGCGTGCAAATGAAATTACGAGCAAAGAGTTGACTTTGCCCCGCAGCAAGTGTCACGAACGAAAAGGAGACTGCTATATATATATGTGTGTAGGTGTGTGTGTGTGTGTGTATGCGTAATGAGCCATTGCGCGTTGTTAATTGTTCAAATTGCGTCATCTTGCAAAGCACTGAAGACGCAATGACATAATTTAATTGCATTTATTCCCGCTGGCAAAGCAAACACTGAAAATCTATGTCCTTGCATTCAATTCAATTTAGATAAGCAATGGCTGGATCCTTGGACCGGAACTCTGCGATATTTGGACATCGTGCGATGTGCTCTGCTGCACAGCATCCATATTGCACCTGGTGGCCATCGCGGCAGACAGGTGAGCTAACTAAAATGACATTTTTTTTAACGCCTCTTACTTGTCGCTTGCTGCTTTCTATAGTTTTAGTTGCTTCCTGCTGAGTGGAAGCTGCGATAGTGCGCTCTTTCAAGCTAGTTCATTTCATCTAATGTGATTAACACTCTCTCATACTTCATGGATGACACGTTCGTTCCCTCATTATCAATCATCTTGAAGCTTTGCGAGCTATTCTCCTCTCTCCTCTCACTGCTTGCCACTTAATAGTCGTCGCTAGCTTCTTCATCACTCTCTCACACTATTCTCTCTCTCTTAACTACTCATGCGAGCTACTTGCTTCTAATTACTCCCTGAACTATTTAAAATTTATACTATTTTCCTCTTGGAGCATATTATTTGATATGTATTTTATATAGGCAGCTCGCCTCCCCTCGCCCTCGCCTCACAGCTCGTTACTTCACACTTTTATCTATCAGTCACTCTTTCTCTTCTGTCTCTCTCACTTTCTCCTTCTCACATTTTGTTAAATTGCAGATACTGGACCGTTACGAACATTGATTACAACAATTTGCGTACACCGCGTCGCGTCTTCATCATGATATTCTGCGTGTGGTTCGCTGCGCTGATTGTGTCGCTGGCGCCGCAGTTTGGCTGGAAGGATCCAGACTATATGAAGCGCATCGAGGAGCAGAATTGCATGGTATCGCAGGATGTGGCCTATCAGGTGAGCCAAGCAGTTTGCCTTGTGGCACACACAATTGTGTTTAATCCAAGTTGTTTTGCTTGCCACAGATATTTGCCACATGCTGCACGTTCTATGTGCCGCTATTGGTGATTCTATTTCTGTATTGGAAAATCTATTTAATTGCTAGGAAACGCATACAGCGACGCACACAAAAGTCGTTCAACATAACGCTAACTGAGACCGAGGTAAGTTGGGCGAACGGAACTGGGTCTTGGGCTCACAATTAATTTGATAAATTTACAGCTAGTTTGGGGGCATTGACAAATGTTAAATAATATGAAGCGTACAAAAGCGCGCGCGCGTGGCCGTCGTCTAATGAAATTTGAGCTAAAAACCATGTCTTGTTGCCGTAATGAGCGTGTCATTAACCGAAACGATAATGCGAATCCTTTGCTACCCATTAGGGCCGGGCCCAAATGAGCACTTGAAGCAGCCAAAAAGTTCGCACTCAACGATTTATGTGTGCGTGGGCGAATGGGCGTGGCAAATGTGCGATTAACTCAAAGGCTTTAGCTAGTTGTATGTTAGCTAAAAACAAAATGTGCCCCGAGGGAACAACTAGAAATGCTTAGGACAGCTTCTAAATCAAATACAAGAAAAGAGCTAAAAGCGAATTGGAAATGAGGGAATAGACAGAAAGACAGACAGACAGACAGACAGCCAGGCAGACAGCGAAAGAGATAGAGTGAAAAGATATATAAAAGAAAAGGGTTACAGTGGGGAGCAGAGGGAACGCCAACTCTTTACCTGTTAAACAGCGAAATATAATTAAATTTTGCAGTGCGATTCGATGGCGCGTGATGTGCCCAAGGAGCGAGCAGGTAAACGTCGCTTACGCGAGAAGCGTGAACAGCAACGCGAACAACTGGAAGATACGGAAAATGAAGCTGGCCAAATGCAGCGACGTCCACGTAAACGAATTAAGATATGCTTTGGACGTAACACAAATACGGCCAACATTAATGCTGGCACCGAGGGTGCCGTGGCACGTTCTGTGGCAGCCATTGCCGTCGACTTTGCCAGCCTGGCCATTACCCGGGAGGAGACAGAATTCAGTACGAGCAACTATGATAACAAAAGCCACGCGGGCACCGAACTCACGACCATATCCAGCGATGCCGATGACGTAAGTAGCCGCTGCAACTGGAGCAACTGAATGGAAGCTGAGCTAGTTAGTTACCTGTGTGCTATGCTCAGCTCAACTGTGCAGCTGCTCAGCTGCTGCAACTGCTACAACTGCTCCAACTGCTCAGTTGTTTCAACAAAACGAAGCTAATTGTTTCTGTTTGCTTTGTGTGTGCACTTTCTTGTCTTTGTCTTTCAATGCTTCGCTTTTTCTCTCTCTCTCTCTTTCTCGCGCCGTCTCACTCTCGTTCTCTCAGTATCGCACGAGCAATGCTAACGAAATCATAACGCTCTCACAGCAGGTGGCCAGCGCCGCACAGCAGCATCTAATAGCATCCCATTTGAATGCCATTACGCCGCTAGCACAATCCATCGCCATGGGCGGCAAGCCGACGGGAGCAGGCGAGGGAGGGGTTGGCACTGGTGCCACAAGTCCCATTGGAACGACTGTTGGTCGTGGCGTGTTGGCTAGCATAGCCAATCCGCACCAGAAGCTGGCCAAACGACGTCAGTTGCTGGAGGCGAAACGTGAACGTAAAGCAGCGCAAACATTGGCCATCATCACCGGCGCCTTTGTCATCTGTTGGCTGCCCTTCTTTGTCATGGCCCTCACAATGAGCCTGTGCAAGGATTGTGAAATTCATCCAGCAGTTGCATCGCTCTTCCTCTGGCTGGGCTACTTCAATTCGACACTCAATCCGGTACGTATAGAAGGACAAAAAAGAAACAAACCAAGTGAAACCCCAAAAGATTTGTCCAACTGTCCATTGCAATACGGTCCTTGGTCCTGTGTGTGTAACAAATGAGCCAAGTGTGAGTGGTTCTGATTGGATGATTGATCTACCATATATATATATATATATAACTCAATTGAAAAAAGACCAAAGTAAAAGCAGCTGTAAATTTTGTTAATTTTCAACCATTTTTCAACGTTTTTCCAACCTAATCAATACCCAACTGACTTAATTGAAGCATTGCAATATTTTCAAACAGTTTCATTCCAATTGAATGATTGATGAATGAATGGCTTGGCTAAATTTCTCTCTCTACAATTTCACACATATTTATGACTATTTGTAGCAGTTTAAGCTGGCTTAAACTTTGCTAATAGAAGGAACTGAGAGTCTTGTAATTGGCTGATTGATCAAGCCTGTTTGACACGCCCTAAGCCATTCGTATATATTGCTTTGAATGGCATAAGAACGGTTAAATAAATTAAACTAACAAACTAATTTAATCTAAAAAATATATTTTTTATTAGAAGATCAGCAAATTCATCTTTCTAATATATATTATATATATATTATATATTTATATTACATTATATATTTTAGCCATAATTACTCAAAATTGAATATAATTTTTTATATAAACTCCCTACTCTTCTCACACCACATCACCCACTCTCTATACAGGTCATCTATACCATTTTCAATCCAGAGTTCCGACGCGCCTTTAAGCGTATTCTATTCGGACGCAAGCATGCGGCACGGGCGCGCAGTGCGAAAATTTGATTTCAACTGAAAACCAACGAGGACCAGTATCTGTAAGCCACAACCTAAACCAAAAGGTGAAAGCAAAAGTTACTAAACACAGGCATTACAAATCGACATATACGCATATGTACGAGTACTGTATATAGACTCAAGCGATATCAACTCAGAGGCCAACTGACAAAAAGTGGCATGTAAATGGATATGTAAATGAAACTGGATATGGAATTGAAGTTATAGGCATTGCATTGCATTAACTTAAAACTCTAGTTAGGCGATTAGTTTTGTAGTTCGTAGTGCGTTTGACGATATTTTTAGCAGAGACAATCCTAAGTACATGTACGCTCTAAGTAATTCCTAAACCTACCTTAACGAATAACACACACGTGCCCCAACTAGCAACCGACAAAGAAGCAGAAATCCAAGCAAATTAACAACAATTTTTATAAGCTATATAGAAGATGTTTATTATAAGAAAACTCACACACTCACACACACAAATCAATGTATTCGCATACGTATTGTAGTTGATATATACATATATATATATATATGTCTATGTAACAAAAAATATTCCTAAAGTCTTCCCTGTGTCTTAAAGAATTAGGCAAAAAAAAAAAAAAAGAAAACAAAAAAAATTTAGATAAGTTTAGCAAAGCTTGGAAGATTGGCAATATTTTATTGTTTAGCATTATCTGTGTGTATATGTGACCATATATATATATATAATATTCCATTACTGATAAGGCTGGGTCCAAAAAACTTTGTACGCTTTCAATTGTTCTGTGTTAGTTCTCGCATAAGCAGCAGCCCAAGACGAGCAAATCACTTTTCTCATTTTTGTTCGTGTTCAATTAAAAATTTAACAAATTATTGGAAAATTAAACGTGTATAAGGCAACAGAAATCGGCTAGCCGAAGTATAAATACTCTTGCAGAGAGCCGATTGGCATATAAGTCTATAGTCTATAAGCTTCGAGTAGCTCATAGAATTTTGCTTTATCAAAAAGTATAGCATACCTATAAGAGCAGATATATATTGTATATACAACTTTTCTGCAAGAGTATTATACAAATTACCTGTACTCTATAAGTCCTTTGCAACAGCATTTGTAACGAATTTACACACACACACACACACATACATTTAGAATATCTGAGTATTGTAGCCTAAAGCAAGTTCCCGAGCATAAAATTTCAAAAAACCAAAAAATTAAAAAGAAACTTGATAATGTCGGAATTGTGTAATCAAATTATGTGAATTGTAATTATTCAGAGAGCCAAAGCAGAATCAAACTTTTTCAGCCAGCCTGAAGTGTAAGCACATGCAACACGACTAACAAGCGCAAAGTGCTGAACCAGACACGCACACACACAAACACACCTACACACCTACACACATGCATATATATATATATATGCTTATATTTATGTGTATGTATAGATTATGATTTCCAATGAATCTGAACAACAACATTTGATATTAGAAGTAATACGAATACGCTTCAATGTGCATATAAACATACTACAAAAAAAAACTATATATATATACATATATATATATATATATATATTCATACTACTCATATTTTAGCTAGTAAGTACTTTGTAATCCTAGCGGTTTACTAAAACTTTCTGTGTGTCATTGCAAAAAAAGAAAAACAAACAAAAAAAAAATACGAAAACAAATCAAATTCTCGATGTGTACTTGATGTCAAAGTTATTAAAAATTGTGTTTTATCAAAGGTTTCGAGTGTGTTTTATTTAAATTCGGACAAGCTCATATATATATGCGTATGTATATTAATATGCCACAACTCTTGCCTCATTGTTGTGTGCGTGTGAGGCAGCTTTGAATTTGTTTGCACTCAACTCAACTCAAAATTGACAAACTTTTCAACCGCACGCACGTAAGCAAATGCCAGCGCATCGGCAAATGCCAAAGTTCAAGTGCAAATTGTGTCAAGTGTTGCAGAATTCGGATTCGGATTCAGATTCGGTATACGATTCGGAGCCACTGTGTGCGTGCGTCTGCTTCACTCATGGAGATGGATTACGCATTGGCATTATCAACGCCGGAACAGGCAAAAGCCGACAAATGGCCTCGAAATTGTTGTGCTTCCAGTGACAAACAAGCAGCCAGCTGGTTGCCTTGCCACAGCAACAACCAAATCGATACATCATGCAATGCTCGCATTACAGTGCCTGCCAGTTGAGCTGAGCAGTACTCGCACACGCTCCTCCTGTCTCTCCACTTGTTATTCTTACTGCTAACATTGTTGCCACCGCTGCTTGCCACATTGTTGCATTTTCAACTGCCAAAAGCTGCACTTATCAGGTGTCAGCAGCTGCCGCCAAGCAAAACAAATATCGAGAAAAAAAGGAGTCTCAGTTGAAGGCTTGTCCGTATGTTCGAATTCAGTTTGATAATCTCTCTTTTGTCTCATGCATAAATAATTGGCTATAAGAGTCTAAAGGTCTCCTAACTGCACACAACATTGCGACATTTTATTATAAGCAAAAGCAATAATTATTTATATAAAGGCAACTAAGGCAAGCATTTGAATACTCTACTACAAGTTTAATAAACATTTTAACTGGAAGTTAATTATTAATTTTAATTAATTATTAATTACTTATTATAATTAATTAAGGACTTGAGCTAAATTACAAGAAACAAGTTTTCTGTGGAAATAAATATTAAAATAATAAATAAAATAAATTAAAATTTGTTGACAAATTGTGTTACTAGTTAAACAATTAAAAAAGTTTAAATTTTAAAAATATCGAACTAACAACTTGCACTTAATTAATAGCTTGCAGTTAAGTATTGGCAGTTAAAACTTGTGCAATAAACATTTGAGATTGAAGAGCAAACAATATTTGAAGCAAATATTCTTTAGTTATTAATTAAGTTAAAAGTATTCTGCAGCTGCAGACAAAATTTTGACATTGAAATTCCCAAGTGAAGATTTAAATCTTTCATATTATTCACGAACAGCTTAACTTGTATATTAAAATAGCAACAATTTCGCTGCAAATTATAAGCTTTTATTACTCGAGTGGCTACATACTATATATATATATATATATATATAACTATATGAGTACAAGCTTACTCTATTTGCATTTCAATTTCCATCACATATATATATAAACATTGAACTTTTATTCTTTCACCCATTATTGTTCACTCTTCACATAAATACATTAAATTCCTCACACATTTTGTTGTATGGCCCACAGCTAGGTGGCATATATACATAATTCATCTATGGCTTAAAAACTGTGTGAAAAATCAATCAATAGCTGTGCGTACGACCTGACAATGTTAACTCATGTCGAGTTTTGGGGCCAATCCAATAAGCCTTGTCATAAGCCACGGCCACAGCCACAAGGCATAAAAGCCACAAAAATCCGAATGTGCAACAGCAAACACGTATGTGTGTGTGTGTATGTGTGTGTTGCATGTGTAAATATACGTGCCTTTATTAGCTACTACACATTATTAATATCCTTAGCTCCCCACACGCTGTATTGGATAATGTCAATAAAATGCGTTTTATTAAAAAATTTCTTAGTGCTCCCAAAAAAAAAAATATAAAAAAAATAAAAGCCATAAATCGAATAAATATCGTTTGCTCAACGAGTGCCACGAGTGTTTGTGTGCGCAAGCCACAGTTAATATGCCACATGAGTGCCAGCACACTGTTTGCTCGAACATTATAGACTTGAAGCCCGCTCGAATCGTATAAAAAATGAACGAAACTTGCCAAGCAATTCGAAAGGTATTAAAAGTATTAAACAGCAACGGCTGATTATAAACCTTGAAGTGCTAAACTTGCCAAAAAAAAAAAAAAGAAAATAAGTGAAGAAAAACTTCCAAGTGTAGCAACGTATCTATCAAATACTTTTAGCAGATATACTTAAAGCTACTTCAGCGCGTGTGAGTGTGCATGTGTGTGTGTGTGTGTGTGAGCAAATAAGACATGCTAGCTGGCAAGAGTGTAAGTACATAAGTACATAGTGGCTTGGCAATCGATGTGTGTGTGCGTGTGTGTGTGTGTGTTAAGCAAAGTTGTAATTGAATTGCAGCGAACGTGCGCAAATTGCTTGAAATGATTAAGAGCTTATGGCGCTGTATTAGTTCAAGGACTAAAACGACTTAGAGCAGGCAATTAAAACGCACGACGTCCGCACAAGCGATCGACCAAGTCACATGAAAAGCAAGTTTATACAAACATAAAGCCAAAAGCTTTGATTATATTGATAGCAATAGAAGCTGATGGAAGGAATAGTAAAAGGGGCAAGAGCAGAAGTTAGTGTAAGAACTGGAGCAGGAATAACAGGAGTCGAAGTAAATGTAAAAGCAGCAGCAGCAGGAGTAGAGTTTGTAGAAGCAGCAGCTGCAGCAGCGGGAACAGGTGTTACTCGACTCGCAACAGCTATTCAGATAAAGAAAATGATGCAGCACATAAGTATGCTATAGTTATTTTTTGTGGATTTACATGGAGTTGTGTGCGTGTGTTAACTGCAGTTGCAGCAACTCGCACGCTGAATGTGCCCCCAAGCAGCCATAATCCCAAAAAACAACAACAACAGCAGCATCAACTCTACTGCTGAGTCGTGTTTATTAAAGCGCTGCAGGTAAAACAGCTCGTAAAACGCGCAAAAATATAAAAAATAACTTTATGAGCCAACTGTGTGTGTGCCGCGAGTGCCTTTGTATGTGTGTGTGTGTGTTGGCAAAAAACTCATTTTGAAGTTGTTGACACCGCATAGGTAGCCAAAGCACTTGTCACCAACAGCAGCTGGAGTAGCAGCACCACACAAAGCACCATCCGAACAAGTTGCAACTGCTGCAAAGTCTTTGCAAATTGCGGTCAAGTGCACTTCTCAATGCCTTTGAAACTTGCGCCACATTGAGATGAAGCTGGGAGGTGATGGAGCTGCTACTGAATGGCAACCACCTGAACCAACTGACTGTTGTCTGGCAGGACGCACAACGCGGTTGGCTCCCACTCAAGTGACAGCCAAAAGATGCCCATAAAATAGAGCAGCTGCACTAATTGCAACAACACAAAATCTGCGTTAATTATGACCAACAGATATATATATATATTTTTTAAGAGATAATCAAGCTTTTTTGAAGTTGTTTGACGAGTATTTAAGATTTAAGGGTTTTCAACTGGAATAAAGCTAAATTAAGTTTGACTCACAGCTTTGCTTATACAATGATAATAATTAACATTGGCTTAACAAACACATAATTACAGGGTATTCAAACGGACTGAGTAACAAATGCAGTGTATTCAAATATCTTGACTCATAAATATTTTTTATTTTGAGTCCTACTACTAGTAAGTTTCTTATTTTAATAAATTTTCTTGATATATTTACAATTACAGGGTATCCAAAAATGATCATTTACAATTTAGAGATATTCCACTAGCTAGAAAATCATAATTTATAAAATTTGCTTTGACAGCT